AAACTAAGCAAAAGTTTCAAAGTAAATAGACCATGACTGAGGGGGCGGGGCCAAATATTCTCCATGGAAATGAGATGTGCTAATGCTTAAACAACTAAACACCAATTAACATTGGCCTACCACTAATGGTTCCCCTTGAACTGACCTAATCACAAATAATACATGTTAACTTAGCAAAAGTCTATAGACCATGACTAAGGGGGTGGAGCCAAATTATCTCCATGGAAATGAGATATGCCAATGCTTATACAACTGCATACCAAATATCATTGACCTACCACTAGTGGTTCCCCATAAATTGACCTAATCACAAACTAATACTTGTAAACTATGAAAAGTTTCAAAGTCAATAGACCTTGACTGAGGGGGCGGGGCCAAATAATCTCCATGGTAATGAGATGTGCCAATGCTAATACAACTGCATACCAAATATCATTGACCTACCACTAGTGGTTCACCATGAACTAGACCTAATCACAAACTAATACATTGTTGACGCCGCCGCCGGAAACAGCATACCTATGTCTCGCATTTTTGACTCTGTCAAGGCGAGACAATTAAGGTGCTGTGCAAGATGTTCAAAACCTCCAACCAACCGAGGGATGGTTTCTATAATGAAACAACAAAGGAATATTTGTCGAAGGTTTCTCTGATTCTTACAGTATATCTGATGGGACACAAAAGATAGAGAACAGAGTACCTATCTGGCATTTCTGGTACCAAGCCTAACCAAGTTGAACTAGAGGACAAATACACATATATTTACCAAGCTTAACTAAGCCTCAGCAATGTTCAGAAAGAGAAATCTTTCATTTCATTTGAAAATGACCTTGATTTAAACTACATGGACACACTAGTAAGCAAAAATTGACTATGCGGACTCCCAACAATAAACAATAAAAGAGTTCACAGGAAGAAATGCGACCCACCTATACATTTTATTCCTCACCTATGAGGTGACATGAGGTGACCAGTCTTTCCTCTTACATCAGTTATATGTAGCAGTTTCAAAACACTACTTGAATAAAGTGATTTTAAAATCTTTGTTTCAGTTTTATAAGTTTTTTCCAGAATTATTGAAAATAGGAGTTATATCTACCTTTATTTCAAATCCCTAAAAAATGACCTAATTGAGTAGTACATTTAATGTACATAGTACAAGGAGTGATTCTATATAGTTACCTTTTCCTCAACTAGGTATTGTGATTAAGAATATAACAGAGATAAACAAATAAAAGAACAGAGTTCCAATGTCCCCCATGTTGCACATATTTGATCTGTTCTGTCCAAGGGCAATAACTAAAAAAAAATATTTTTGTTCTTTAAACTTTTTAAAATTATCTTACTTGATATGTTGATAAGTTGAAGACAAACACTTGAGAGCAATTTTCGATATATTTAATATTTCTAACATGTCTAAGGGAATCTCATTAAGAATATTTTCGAAATTGTCCAAGACATTGCTATTATATACCTTTGATATGAATTTGATGAAAATCAGGCAAAAATTGTACATGTGAGAGCTCTTACAATGCAAATTTCCATATAATTCTTATTCCTAATATAAGGTGCATATAACTCTTTTAACATGAGAGCCTGATATCGCTCACCTGTAATTTCAGTTTCAGGCATTTGACTTAAATTTGTAGATCTTAATTTGCTGAACAATTTTGTCATTTACACTTTCTCTTATTCTATAATAATATTATAGATAATACATAACCCAAAACTGTAAAATTTCCTAAAATTTAACTATTTCTGGACAGTAACCCAACAATAAGTTGTCCTATTGGTCTGAAGATTACTTGAAAGGTAGATCTAAACCTGTTTAACACTTTTACCTATGTCAGTTTTGCTCTTACTGCTTTAGTTTTTGAGATGAAAGCCAAAAACTTCATTTGACGCCTATGTTCTATTTTTAAAAACTGCCGCCATGTTTTTGAATGGATCAAATCCCAGAATACAATCTATAAACTAGATACCCTAAGGAACATTCAATTCAAGTTTTTAAGTATTTGGCCAAGTAGTTTCAGAGAAGAAGATTTTTGAAAAAGTAATTAGACTTTCATCAAAAATGTAAAAAAAAAAACATTTTAAGGGCAACAACTCCTCAAGGGGTCAATTGACTATTTTGATCATGTTGACTTATTTGTAGCTCTCTTACTTAGCTGAATATTTATTGCCATTTATACTTTCTCTCTATCTATTATAATATTAAAGAAAATAACCAAAAACAGAAAAATTTAATAAAAATAAACTATTTCCAACAGTAACCCAACAATGGTTTGTCAAACTTGTCTGAAAATTTCATAACAGATAGATCATGACACATTTATCACTTTAATTCCCTTTCACTTTTGCTCTAACTGCTGTAGTTTTTGAGATTTAAGCCAAAAACTGCTTTTTTCCCCTATGTTCTATTTTTAGTCATGGCTGCCATGTTTGTTGATGGATCAAAACTTCGGATACAAATTATAAACAAGATACCCTAAGAAACATTCAGTTAAAGTTTGGAAGTATTTGTCCCAGCAGTTACAGAGAAGAAGATTTTTGAAAAAGTAATAGACGCATGAAAAAATGTAAAAAATAAACGTTTCAAGGGCAATAACTCCTTAAGGAGTCAATTGACTATTTTGATCATTTGACTTATTGGTAGATCCTACTTAGCTTATTATTTTTGCCATTTACACTTTCTCTCTATCTATTATAATATTAAAGATAACAACCATAAACAGTAAAATTTCATAAAAATAAACTATTTCCAACAGTAACCCTACAATGGGTGGTCCAATACACCTTATCGCTATTTGTCCGCCATTACTGGACATCACACAAGTTCCCGTAAAATTTTGACGTCATAATAGAAAATGTCTGACGCCACAATGGAAAAGTGATTGTTGTATGACGTCAAAAGTTCGAGCGGGACAGATTCTCGGGTCAAGCGGGAATAGCGATAAGGTGTATTGGTCTGAAAATTTCATAGCAGATAGATCTTGACTTATACATCACTTTAACTCCGTCATTTTTGCTCTAACTGCTATAGTTTTTGAGATAAAAGACAAAACTGCATTTGACCCCTATGTTCTATTTTAGCCATGGCGGCCATGTTTGTTAATGGATCAAAACTTCGGATACAGTTTATAAACCAGTTACCCTAAGGAACATCAGTTAAAGTTTAGAAGTATTAGGCCCAGTAGTTTCAGCGGAGAAGATTTTTAAATGTTAACAAACATAATGAATAAATAGTTTAAAATTGTCTTTAAAGGGCAATAACTTCTTAAGGGGTCAATTGACAATTTTGGTCATATTAACTTTTTTGTAGATATTACTTTGCTGAACGTTTTTGCTGTTTACATTTTATCTTAATCTTCAATAATATTCAAGATAACCAAAAACTGCAAAATTTTCTTAAAATTACCAATTTAGTAGCAGCAACCCAACAATGGGTTGTTCGGTTAGTCTGAAAATTTCAGGGCTGATAGATCTTGACCTATTGAACATTTTTACCCCCCCCCCCGTCAGATTTGCTCTAAATGCTTTAGTTTACGAGATATAAGCCAAAAACTGCATTTGACCCCTATATTCTATTTTTAGCCATGGCTGCCATGTTTGTTGATGGATCAAAAACCTCATTTACAATTTACAAATTAAATACCCTAAGGAACATTCAGTTAAAGTTTAAAGGTATTTGGCCCAGTAGTTTCAGAGAAGATTCTTGAAATAGTTTACGACGACGACGAATGCCAAATGACTGCATAAGCTAACATGGGGCCCTTCTGGCTCGGTGAGCGAAAAATAGTTGATGGGCACTGAATTGTACACATGAGCGCTAACGATGCAATTTTCCATATAATTTATGTTCAAAGTGGCATAACTTTCCTCTTGTGGAGAGTTGTCTCATTGGCAATCATACCACATCTTCTTTTTTATATAACGCTTTTATAAATAGTTGATCGGCACTGATTTTCGAACTCGTCCGAGACAGTGCTGATATAAACCTACAATATAAGTTTCATAAAAAACTGACAAGAATTGTACACATGAGAGTGCTAACGCTGCAATTTTCCATATAATTAATGTTCCAACGTGCATAACTCTTTTAAAAATAGCTGATCAGCACTGATCTTTGAACTAGTCCGAGACATTGCTGATATAAACCTACAACATTGTACAACATTGTACAATAAAAGTTTCATAAAAATCTGGCAAGAGTTGTACACCAGAGTGCTAACAATACCGGACAGACAGACAGATCCCCATTATTTCTATGTCCCCCACAACGCGTTGTGCGAGGGACAATAAACTTTTATATTATCATTTAGCATGTTTAGTTAATAAACATTTACTGTTATCTGGATCTTAAAGTTAAAATCACTGATTTTAGTAGAATATGATAATTTCACTTCTTTTAAAGCAGTATTTACAACCATTTTTAAAACTGAATGTGAATAGATTCACCACCTGAGAACACTGTAATTTTAACCAGAGAAAACTACTTTTTCATTGAATGATCTCCAAGCTAAAATATTAAAGTTTTCAGAAAAAATACTGAAAAAGTTCGGAAAATTCTGATAAACTTCTGTCAAGTCTGTAGACCTATAAAAAAATATATAAAATGCAACGATGCTCAGAAAGAAGTACAAAATATGCACACTGGGCATTGTTTTTTTAAATACATTGACCTGATTATTCCTTTTCAACAGGATTTTTGTAAAAAATTAATCATTTTAATATCACATGTATAAGTAATTTCCCTGACTGCTTATTCTTAAATCTTGTCTCTATGGCAGAGATTGAACAAATACAATAACAGTCTTAAATCAAACTCTGCTGAAAAACAAACTCAAAACCTCCTATACCATGTATACTCAGGCACAGCATACCACAGTGAGACCACTAAGCAAATTACTCCTGAATTCAGAATGGGTAATAAATTCTGACTCATTTATCAGTTATCATCAAGACTAGTCAAAGCTATCAAACAGTTAATAGTTACATACCTCCATGGCCATCATAGACACCAAAGAAATGTGTATCTTTATCTCCTGGCATTGACAGTAATTCTGTGTGAGCATCTTCCATATCTGTTTATGTTAAGGAAACAAATACTGTAAATTCAGAAATTATTGCGATGTTTTTATTATTGCGAAAAATGCGACAGGGTTATAATCGCAATAATTTAAACTCGCATTTTGAAATATTTTATATGAATTAAACAGGATTTTTCTCAATATCGCAAAAATTAAAATCGCATTTTAGTCTCAAATGACAAAATCGCAATAATAAATGCACGCAATAATTTCTGAATTCACAGTAGAACTTCTACTATAAACATAGGTTATTCAATATGTTCAACATAAAATATTCATCTCATTTCCAAAATTGACTTGATAAACCAATACAACATGTACTTACAGGTTCAGATCTGTCTAGTATCTTTACTTTAAAGTAGAAATTAACAGTGAGGGTTATATTTCATGTCAGATTGCCCAGTGGCATCTCCTTATAATAACTTTATCATGATTAAAGGGGGAAAAAACTTCAAGGTGAAAAGAACTGAAATATAATTCAACTATAATCTGTGAAATGAACTGGGAAGTGACAACTACATTTGTACATGTCATATGTATCAATGAAATATAAATTTATGTAAGAGTGATTGGATATGTACAACAAATACTGTTTTAAGTTCACAAGAACAATCTAATGTCATAAGAGTGGACAGCCAAATATGGTGAAGTAAAATACTAAAAGGATGTTAAATGTTAAAAGGAATATACAGTTATATATATGAACATGTGCACATTAAACTTTGTCTGAGGGACTATAAAGGTTTTTTTAGTTTTCTTTTCGTAAAAGTTACATAACTTATCCCTGGCAATGACGTGAAATTTATTAAATGTTTATAATGACCGTTATAAATGATGGCTAGTTTGAAGCACAGACTACAACATGACAAGGTTGATCATACCATCAGGACTAAAATAGATTGACTTGTCATTAAAACAAAATTCTGCCAATACAACATACATGTACTTGTATACAAATGTAATATATAAATGATAAATAGTCATGATAGTAAAGGATACTTATTCTCCATCCCTGCATACAAGAAGAGCCAACTTTAGCAAATGAATTCTGACATGATGCTGTTAACTTTGTCGTTACAGGTTCAGACAAAGTCTGACCCATTGTTTATCTGAAAAATTCAAACAACGTAAATCTCATAAGTATTATTAATCACAGTACAATGTGTGCAGTTAAAATGATGAATAAATATAAGTCAAGAAAATTTGTACATTAAAATGCAAAATTTCAAAGAATCTGCTTTAATCTTTCATAGACATGATAGGTCTCATACATTTTGTACAGTCGATAAGTGCACAAATGTAAAAATGACATAATCAAGTAATCTTACAAACTGATTTGTATTTTTAAACTGCAACTGGCATGACTGGTTTCTGGATTCAAACAATTTTTTGTTTGAGTATTTTTTTGTTTGACAGCTGTCATGGCTGCTATTCTACCTACTGTTATCCAAATCAATGATATAACCAGTGATAACTGTCAGTTAAAGAAATTTGACAAAGCTCTTAAAACATCTACAGAGGAAAAATTTTGCAGAAAATGACTTTAGCAATGATGTTTTCTACACTCAATCAGTATCATCTTCTTTAAACGAAATATTTGGTTCTAGCTTTATTAATCTGTCATGTCTGTGATTGTTTGCTTTAACTCCCGTGGCAATTTATTTGTATGCTTATATATGATTTTTGATTGCTATATGAACACAATGAACATGAAAAAAAGCTTAGTTTCTGTTTTGATCGCTATATGAACACATAGAACGTGTAGAAAGCTTAGTTCCTGTTTTGATTGCTATATGAACACATAGAACATGTAGAAAGCTTAGTTTCTGTTTTGATTGCTATATGAACATGATGAACAAAGAACATGTAGAAAGTAAAGTTTCTGTTTTGATTGCTATATGAACACATAGAACATGTAGAAAGTAAAGTTTCTGTTTTGATTGCTATATGAACATGATGAACAAAGAACATGTAGAAAGTAAAGTTTCTGTTTTGAATGCTATATGAACACACAGAACATATAGAGTTAAGTTTCTGTTTTGATTGCTATATGAACACATAGAACATGTAGAAAGTAAAGTTTCTGTTTTGATTGCTATATGAACATGATGAACAAAGAACATGAAGAAAGTAAAGTTTCTGTTTTGATTGCTATATGAACACATAGAACATGTAGGAAGTAAAGTTTCTGTTTTGATTGCTATATGAACACATAGAATATGTAGAAAGTAAAGTTTCTGTTTTGATTGCTATATGAACATGATGAACAAAGAACATGTAGAAAGTAAAGTTTCTGTTTTGATTGCTATTTGAACACATAGAACATGTAGAAAGTAAAGTTTCTGTTTTGATTGCTATATGAACATGATGAACAAAGAACATGAAGAAAGTAAAGTTTCTGTTTTGATTGCTATATGAACACATAGAAAATATATATGATGTCCATTTGTAGAAAGCCTAGTTTCTGTTTTGAATGCTATATGAACACATACATGACATAGCACCTGTAGAAGCTTAGTTTCTGTTTTGGTTGCTACTGTATATGAACACATAGCAACATGTAGAAAGCTTAGTTTCTGTTTAGATTGCCAGCAAAAAAATAGTGTGCTATTGAAATGATCCACATTTCAGACTCTTGTACATAATTATAAAAAACAAAGCTACATGAGGTATGTTGTTTTTGTGGGTTTTTTTTTCTTTCCATGTTTTTGTAGGTTTTTTTCTTTTCATGTTTATGTGGGTTTTTTTCTTTCCATGTTTTTGTGGGTTTTTTTCTTTTCATGTTTATGTGGGTTATTTTCTTTCCATGTTTTTGTGGGTTTTTTTCTTTTCATGTTTTTGAGGGGTTTTTTCTTTCCATGTTTTTGTGGGGTTTTTTTTCAAAAAAGAAGTAGTCATCCAAGTACATTTTGTATTTCCACATCTTTCATGTCTTTAATTTTTGGTCTTGTAAATAATGAGGAAATTTTTTTTTTCATAAATCATTTTTTTAATTATTTTTTCAATGGTAAAAACTCAAATTTATGCACTCCTAAACCGAATGGCTAATTATCTTTGAAATTATTTATGGTAAATAGTTTCTAAGTTCAAGATATATTTTTTTTAAGTTCATTTAATGATTTTTGGATATATATAAATTTTAAAATCCATGTACATGTTGTACATTTTAATGATTGTATACATGTTTGTTTTTGTTTGTAAATTGGTTACCTTTGAATGTTTATGAATGCAAGGGTTGGATTGGATGTGAACTTATATGTTGTCTTGATAATATGATTTTTTAATTTGCTGTTATAGGCTTTCAACTAGATTTAAGTAACTCTGAGTACTCTTAGATCAATACTTTGCATCTTTTAGTCTTTTTGTTAGTTGTTTTATGTGCTTTGTATAGGTCTGATGAGTCAAACCATTCATCTGAATTTTACAGTTTGTTCTTATGTTGTGCTGTTACACCACTGTCCTAGGTTAGAGGAGAGTCAAGACAGATGGACACCCACAAACATGTTTAACCCTGTCACATTCTTTATGTGCCTGTTTCAAGTCAGGAGCCTGTAATTCAGTGGTTGTGGTTTGTTGCTGTAAATCATATTTGTTTTTTGTTTATTGTTTTGTACATAAATCCAGCCATCTGTTTTCTTGTTTAATATGACATCAATAATGAATACAGGTACACAGAAGTTTTACATTGTTGATTCAAATTCAACATTTGGACCAGTTGTAAGAGTTGCAGTATAAAAAGAATAACTATATTCTATGCAAAAAATCGCATTTTACCTGTTTCTAAGCCTTACACCATACAAATAAAGTCAATATTTTGATATTTTATATATATGATCATATGAATTGATATTTCACAACTATTAAGGCTTAATTAGCATATTGGCAGGTGATCACTTTTGTTAACTGAACAGTAAAGATTAGAGAATTTTTTATTGTAAAATAGAACAAGACACAAAAAAATCATCCTCTACAGCTTTAGTTGTCTTTATTGTAAACACAAATAAGTCACTTTCAATGATAAACAAATGTAAAGCTAAAACAAATTGCAGCATTTTCCTGTTACATGTATTTGGTTGTTTGTCTTACAAGGTGTTTGTTTTATTCTATTGAGAGCAGTCTATTAAGTTAACAATTTTTATGGAATCACATTCTGACAATCTATTTATATAGCTAACTGAACGGGTGACTTTAAATGTTTGCTAATATTTTTTTAGATCTTTTAATTGCAAATACAGATGAGATTTAGAGTTGTCAAAAAAAATTTCTTCCGCCAAATCTCCCAACCCAGCACTATAACATAACATCAAATTTCGGTTTGCCTTTGAATCTATGGTGTGGCTCTCAACATCAGTGTTTTTTTATATTCTGGATAGGCCATATGGCCATGATGGCATGGAAAAGGTTAACCTCTAAAATTTGATGACCACAAAAGTAAGTATTTGGACTAATGTATGTATGTATGTACAGTTTAGTAGATCCCCCCCCCCCCCCGCCCGTTATTCGAAGCACCTATGAGAGCTGTGAGGGTACAGTGGAATCAGTGTACACTCCCTTTTAAGATTAATGTGTCACTAACTTATATACAACTTATAATATACATACATTAACATACTTACACCAAGGACAAACCCCAACCCAATACAAAGGGAATGTTAGGACACCAGTAAGTCTGTTATTATGGTGGAGGAAGCCGAAGTACTAGGAAAGAACCACTGGGCTCCTAGTCGGGAACCGACAAAAGGAAGAGATAATTGAAGATTGATCACGAGGACAATATCAGGGGCCACTTTGACCAACCAAGACTCACAAAGTACCCATTCTAGTTTAAACTCAGGGCTCTGTACCAGAGATCTGTGTAGTAGGATGAAAATCACCCTACTAATGTACTGCAATTTCCAGCAACCTGAGTCAGGGCCTGCAGTCATAAAAATTTCAAGCACCATTAGCGTAGACAGACTCAGAAATCAACCAATCAAAATACTGGATTTGGTGTTTCGAGGGCATATTTTGTACTCCAAATGCAAGTAGTAGAAGTACTGAGTCAGGTTTAATGACCGAAAACCCTGGACCTTCAGCATTGTTGGTCTTAACCACTTGGCCACAAAGCAACAATTTCTAGGAAAAATGTAAGTTTGGATATATTTGCCATAACTGGTCAGAAAAATCAAGTTTACCAATTTTAATGGTAATAATGGTACCTGGGTAACCAATTGACCTTCACTTATCAGTTACTAAAAGACAGTTACAATCATTAAGGTATATACAGCTTTAGCAGTCTCGTGGACAACACTGCTTTCGCCCAATAGGGCAAGTTATTGTACATAAAAACATGCCTTGGCTGCAGTAACTCGTACACATGACAAGTACGAGCCAGTAGAGCATACATGTATGTAATATATATCACACGGTTCTAAGAAGTTAAATGTATTTATTTATGTTTTTATGTTGCACAGAAGACGATACAAAACTTACTTTGTATACTTAATTAGTGATTACATTAATACAATGTGAATTTAAGGAATTTTCCACTAAAACAATGTTGGCATTACTGTTGTGCTGTTTCTATTTTCATTTAATTTCCCCTTTGGCGATTTACCGTTCTAAACGTAAACATTCCGCCAACGGCTATTTGAAGCATGACCCGTTTTGGAATATCAAGACATTTCTTTGTACTTAATTTGGACAGCTGAGAGAATTGTTTATAAAAATAAGTTTTATTTGTAAATTAATGTCTTCAGGTAAAACTTAACAGTTTATTTCCGTTGGCGCACTAATATTATAATTATAATTCGGTAAACTGGATGACGGAGAAGCACAGTATTGGTTCTGTCATGTAACGGCAATCTCTATAAATATGTTGACCCTTGTAAATAACCTTGTAGATCTTAAATTGTGATAATGACCACTACTGTTTTTAAAACTAATCTTTATAGATTTTTTTACCATTTTAGATTTTAAGAACATATAAACTATATATGAAACCACACAAGTACATAATTTTACCCATTATTAATACTGAATAGTAATTCATAACACTTTCTTTTTTCTAAGAGAATTTTACAAACAAACTACATTGAGCTTCTGATAAGCTAGTATTTTATCCATTTTAAAGTATATGTAAAATTTTGTAAGCTCACGTCAGTCTGAGTATGTATAGTGTAAATACAAGTTCCTGTTTTTTTTTAATTTTGTCCTATTCTAACTCTGTTAGCTATTATTATTTAAATTTTAACTAAAACATAAAAAAAAAAAAAAAAAAATTAACAAAAATTTTTAATAATTAACGCATTTTTAAAAATAAACATTTTTTTTTAAATGCATTCCCTTACAAAACTTAAATGTTTGCTGCAGATTTGCAGCAGACTTGCTGCAGGTTTGCTGCAAACAAAAACCTTGCAGGAACCCTTAAATAATGTTTGCAGATGTTTGCAGCTAGCTGCAAACCTCCTGCAAACATTGCAGCTTTTTGCTGAAGCTTGCGGCAAGTTTGCAGAAACAATTATGTTTGCAGTAAGATTGCAGGAAAAACTAGAATATAAGGGATGTTCGCAGCTAGATTGCAGCAATCTTTGACAATTCTATATGTTTGCAAGAGCATTGCAAGAATTACATAAAATGACTGAGCATGCCTATTGGTAATTTCCTGAAAGATTTGAAATTTGAAAATGTTGATGGCGTTTGAGTCATGTTATATCACCCCCAGTTTTTGGTGGGTTCGTGTTGCTTAATCTTTTGTTTTCTATGTTGTGTCATCTGTACTATTATTTGTCTGTTTGTCTTTTTATTTTTGGCCATGGCGTTGTCAGTTTGTTTTCGATCTATGAGTTTGACTGTCACTCTGGTACCTTTCGTCCCTCTTTTATATATTAGTGTTCAGGGAGGCATTTTAGGTTGGAAAAGAGATGTTAAGTTTTTTAAACACATTAATTATTTGTAAGTACAAATTTTTCATAGAAGCGTAAACTTATGAAATTCGTCCCCTTCACAATTACCTGTATGAAGGTTTGAAAAACATTTTCTAACATGTAACCAGTATACAGTACTCTCTAATATGTTTGGAGATTGTAGCTTATTAAATATTATGTTGTAATAAGTCAAGTTGAATTTTGTGACAATATTAATTTAACAAGCTGTATATATGCACAAAATACATTTCAAATAAACCTTTTTTTTGTATTTTAGATATTTATGCATGCAATTCATTTGAGCACGAATTTGAACAACAAAAAAGCTTTAAATTAAATTTTAAAGGGTATTAACTTATGCTATGATAATTTTGCAAATGATAAAGTGTTTGAATTATTGTATGTATGTATGTAGCCTAACTTTTTCATAATTTGCTGTGTAATATAGATAATGTGATGTGCACACAACATATGACATTGGTTAATTGTATAATGTATATGTAGTTCCTGCAAGTTTGCAGCAAAAACGCAGGAGAAAGATTAATTTGAATATAAATGTTTGCCGCAGGTCTGCAGCAAACACGCAGGAGAAAGATTAATTTGCATAAAATGTTTGCAGCAGGTCTGCAGCAAACACTCATTTGCATATAAATGTTTGCAGCAGGTCTGCAGCAAACACTCATTTGCATGGTAAATTGTTTGCAGCAGACCTGCAGCGTATTTGCAGCAAACATGCCGCAAATACAGACTCTGTGTTCGCTGCAAGTCTACAGCAAATGTTTGCAGGAGGCTGATTTTTTCAGTAAGGGGTGATCCTGCAAATAGGGTGGACATCCTGAAGAAAAAGTTTACTTCTTAAATTTTAAAATCGTATAAACTCAGATTTTTTAAATTAAAATTTATATTTAAAATTTTAAAATATTAGATTTTAATTCAGTCAAATATGAGGGTTCCCATGCGATATAAAAGGCCCAATCCATTGGTCCAGACAATGAAAAACCATGAATACTTTTATTATAACAAATGGACATTTCAAAAAGTTAACTGTACTGTAATCTAACCAAAGTCTTTGCAAGGAGTTTTATCCATTTTTCAAATAATATAAGTTTTATAATTTCTTGTCAGACGGATGTGTACAGTGTAAATGTAAGCGTAATTTCATTCCACCGTGTTTTTATTCTGAGTAACTGTTTTTCACTAGAGAATATTGGATGTAAATAGTCACGGTGAAAGGTCGATCTTGATATCGTTGTTTATATTTGACCGGTTTATTGTTTACATAAATTAATAGGTTAAAATTAGAATAATTTTCAAGGAACCAGTTTAATTAATAGATATTGACATAAAAGATATGATCTTATCTCCAAGTCGACCAAAACGCAAATGCACAGAAAAACTTCGGCAATCCAGTATATACACATGATATATGAATATTACAAATAGTGACAATTTGAAAGCATATGATTTGATGGATTTTCATAGAAAAATTATTAAAATTTAATTCGTAAATAAAGCATTATTATCGTGTGTTCAAAATGAGTACAAAAAACACTTCATCAAGGTATGGATCTAAACACTAGTGTAATAAATCCCGGTTCAAAATAACCAGTGCAATCATTCCAGGTATAAAATCACTAGTGTAATCATTCCTGATTCAAAATCACTAGTGTAATCATTCCTGATTCAAAATCACTAGTGTAATCATTCCTGGTTCAAAACACTTGTGTGAACATTCCTTTGATGAAACACACTAGTTTACTTTGTCCATTTTTACATAAATCAACTATGCAAGTTTTAGTTAATTCAAATACCCCCCAAAAAATACCAAGCCCAATTTTTTATATATTTCCCCTTCAAAAACTCTCTTTAGAATCTTATGATGAGTGGTGGATATTTTATACTGGACCCGGATTAAAAAACCTAGTGAATTTTTGTTGGTGGATAAATAAAATTGAGACTGGAAATGGGGAATATGTCAAAGAGACAACAACCCGGCTAAAGAGCAGATAACAGCCGAAGGCCACACATGGGTCTTCAACGCAGCGAGAAAATCCCGCACCCGCAAAAATGCGGCGGGATTAAACATGTTTTGTGAGATCTCAACCCTCCCCTATACCTCTAGCCAATGTAGAATAAAGAAACACACAGCGATACGCACAGTAAAACTCAGTTTAAAAGAAGTCCGAGTCCGATGTCAGAATAGGTAACAAAAGAAACTAGGCAAAATGACAATGATACATAAATTAACAAAGGACTAAAACACACTAGGAATTTTCATCCTCCGGATAAAGTACACTGGCGGAATCAAAACAATGTTACATGAATACATGTTCTCTCTCCTTTTACCGTTTTACCTTAACATTTATAACTTTACTCACAAGGTAAATTATTTTTTAAGATAAACGTATATATTCTAATGCGGTGACCCTTGCAAATAGGGTGGATATCCAATAGAAGAAGAAGAGAAGTAGAGTCAGTGGCGGATCCAGAGGGGGGCGTAGAGGGCGTACGCCCCCCCTTTGCTTGGACTTTTTTTTTTATGTAAAAAGATTAATCAGACTAGACTTCGTGAACTTTGCCATTTCCCGTGTATTTAATTTTTATGCGACAATTCTTTACTTATAAAGATATTTTTCGCTGGTATTTACTGATTATGTCAAAGTCATGTGATACGCTATGGTGGAGTTGACCAGTGCGTCAAAAACGTCACTCAGTCATTTTGAAATTCAAATTACAGTAAATTACATTGCTTAGGCTGAGGATGACAACCATGATACCTTCAAAGCGACACAGGATTGAGCAAGAACGTAGTGACTTCTAATTCACAATTCAACCAAACAGAAAGTAATACTATATTACACTCTCATGAAAAAAACATCCACAGCAATATTATTTACCTACGAAAACATGTTTAACCCCAAACGCCCCAGCCTATTTAAAAATAACATGAAAGCTGAATAATGATCCCCAGTCAGTATAAGCTCTAGATAGATTTAAAGTCTAAGGTACGAACCATTTGATTTGAGGAGGCAGTCTAAGGTATTTGAGAGAAACCAATCTGACTCTTATTTTTGCATTAAATAAAAATTCTGGCCGTATCTGGATTGAAAACAATAATCTTGTCCACTTTTTTTGCTATTAGAAACGAAAATTTCCAACAGAATTATTTAGCATTAAATGAACATGATGAATAAAAAACGGGCGTATTTTTTTGAGGCCAGGGTTTGCATGTCTGACCGGAATGTCTGTTTCGCCGAACTGATATATTGAATACTTTTTCAAGACCAGACTGCAACCTGACTGCTGAGTGTGGCCTTTATGTCTCCATTTGTCGACCGTCATTCATAAATTCGTTGTCATTTCAGACTCATTCGTAGCCTTTGGTTGATTTGGAACCCCTCACCTCCCTTAATTTTGTTGGGTGAAACATATCAACCAAACATTTGGATAAAAATTGCTTGTTTGACTTTTTCAACTCGTGTCGGTCGTATTGTAAATTTCATCGAATAGCCCGGCGTATTTCTTGTTTACAACAAGAAATCTGTGAGGTTATGCTAACTTAACATACAACAAACGAGAATTTTCCATGTCTATTTTTTACTAACAAGTCCCACATCAAATATATCAGTACATAGCTTTGGATCCATACTATCATTTTATGATAGACAATCAATAGGGAGAATA